CCTGACCTAAGGTGATCCTCCCCCCTCCCAACCTCCCGCGTTCCCCCTAAAAATTTATTAAAACACCCCTTTAAAAAGAGCCTTAATTTGGCCAATTTCCGGAATTTTTGGCTTGTGCCTGCAGCATGCCACCTCTCGGGGTTCCAAACCCCATCCTTTCTATAAGTAGTACAAGTTATACTTAAAAGAATCATAAGCAAGCCATATTTATAAATGCAAAGTAATTATTGATTTTCTTAATGCTCTAAGAAATAAAAACATTAATATTTTCAAAAGTAAACTTAATACTTAGTTGTAACCAAGATGGATAATAATGAACCATAACTTATTTTGACAACTCTCTTTTATATTTTCCTCCCCCACCAGATGAGAGAAGCAGATGAAAGCACTGGGTCTGTTGATGGACCTGCAAAATCAGTACGTAAACGAAGAGTTCGAAAAGACTAACACACTTCCATCTAGTATTATTTATGTTTCTAGTTACAGAATCCAGTCATACTGTTTTAACACTGGAACAGGGATGGAGATTATTAACTCTTAAACAAAGACTGAACTCAGTTTGGATTTTAAGTCCTATTTTCCAGACCCTCTTTATCTTGTCAGGTTTTTCATTTTTGTTTTGAAGAAACATTTCTACTTTTTAAGTTATCTGGTTCTTTACTTCATAGATGTTTTTTTTAAATGGCGATAGGCCTGATTCATTATAAATATTCTTTTAAGTTATTTAAGTAATAAATATTGTTTGGAAAGAAATTTGGCTTCAAATTATCCTTTAAACTTTTACATTAATATTTTTTCCCTAGCTCTAGAGAGTATACATTGTTTTTAAGCTTTAGAATTAAAAGTTCAAAGATAAAATCACTTTGATATTTTGAGCTGAATGCAATAACTGTGTTTGGCTATTGATTACATTTTTGAAAAGTGTAATATTTACTTAAACGTTTGTTGTAATGTGTGTTTGATGTTTGTTATAGTTGCTGCTTTTTGTTTTACAAAGTACTTCATTGTTATTAATTTTAAACAATAACATGTTTTACATTTAAATGGAGAAACATTAACTGTATTTATGTAACTTGTGTACATGAAATATTTTCATGCTTTTATAGTCTTATGTTTCAAGCCAGATTGGCATAATCCATGTACAATTTACTTCCTAAATTATATTGATTCCTAAATAAAAATCTTTAATATAACCTGTTATTTAACCTGTAGCTTATTATTGTGTATATTATTGGAATCACATTTTTTTAAATAAACTATTTCTAATAATATTAACACTTAATTTTTGCTATATATTCAGAACTGTCAACATTCAATGTGTAACACAGTGCAAAATGAAAAATCACTAGAATAGCATTAGAGCTTCCAGAAATGGATTGCACATTTTCTGCAGGAGTTCCACTTCTGGGTTATCTTGAGCAAATGAGTACAACAAGGATCTCTTATCTTTGGGTGCCCACTAAAACATTTTTATTTTAAAAAGCTATTTTGTCTGAAGGTTCTTTATTGTAGAACAGGATTATTTTATATCTGGACACTTAAGTGAAGATGCGAGCCATGGTCATGTGATCACAATTTTCAACATTTCTTGCTAGCAAAGTCAACAGGGAAGCTGAAGGAAGTCGGAAGTCCTGTTCACATGAGGTCCTTGATCAATGACCCACATGGTCCTTATTGCCTTTGCTAGGTGTTGTCACATGATGTCACATTTTAAGAAAGCATCACTTTGCAACAGAAATACCAGTCCCAATTGTCATCATAACTTGAGGACTACCTGTAAAAATATTATAGACTGAAATGGGAATTCATCTTTCAAAATTTCCTTCAAACTAGCATGAATCATTTTTTCAGAATGGTTGAATTTTATAACATTGCCATCAAATATGAAAAAAAATTATCCCATCTGCTTATTACCTTTCCAGCAATTATTTAAAAATAAATTAAACATTTTAGCAATCAGAATGGAGATAGTATACCAACATTAAAACATACTATTTTTTCTGAATATAATGTTTGGAATAAATGTAATGTTCTTCCATTGAAATTTCCATTGTTCCATCTCTTTATCACTGCATTCCATTTCTGCATATACTGTATTTAACCATACTGCCTTTAAATTGTTTGGATTCTGAATCATATTTCACCAGCAGTCTGGTTTTGGGTGTGAAAATATATATGTGTTGCTTCAAGGTCTAAATCAGCGGTTCTCAACCTGTGGGTCGCGACCCCATTTGGGGTCGAACGACCATTTCACAGGGGTCGCCAAACAACGCAGTCCGCCATTTTTTCCCCGCCATTTTCCCCCTTTTCCTTAGCTGTGCTACTCCCTCTTATTCTATTGGCTTTTGAAAGCCAATAGAATAGACTCTATTAAAGAGACTCTATTCTATTGGCGTTCGAAAGCCAATAGAATCTATTGGCTTTTGAAAGCCAATAGAATAGACTCTCTTTAAAAGAGTCTAATTCTATTGGCTTTCAAAAGCCAATAGGAATTGTCCAGGCTGTCTCTGCCCTGCTGAGCCCGCCAAAAGTCCTAGTCTGCAAATGGTGCTGCAAGTTGTCTGCAGCTAAGGTGAGCTTTCTGGACGTTTCCACCCCTCCCTGCTGAGCAACTCCTAAATGTAAGTAAAAGAGGGCCAGGGATGGGAGGTGGGAGGCTGGCGGGCGCAGGGAGGGTTGCTGGCGCACGTGGGGCCCGGCGGGTGCTTACCTCCCTTGGGCTGGGCCAGCTGGTGGCCTAGCCGGTGATCGGCCTGCGTCCTCGCTGCCGCTTGCCATGGCCGCCCAGGAGCGCCTGGGCCTGCCGCCACACCGAACGTACGGTGGCCAAGGTAAGGCTAGCGGAGCAGCGGCGGGTGCAGGGAGGGTTGCTGGCACGCGTGGGGCCCGGCGGGTGCTTACCTCCCTTGGGCTGGGCCAGCTGATGGCCGGCCTGCGTCCTCGCTGCCGCTTGTTATGGCCGCCCAGGAGCGCCTGGGCCTGCCGCCGCACCGAACGTGCGGTGGCCAAGGTAAGGCTAGCAGAGCAGCGGCGGGCGCAGGGAGGGTTGCTGGCGCGCGTGGGGCCCGGCGGGTGCTTACCTCCCTTGGGCTGGGCCAGCTGGTGGCCCAGCTGGTGGTCGGCTTGCGTCCCCGCTGCCGCTTGCCATGGCCGCCCAGGAGCACCTGGGCTTGCCGGCCTGCCACTGCACCGAACGGGCGTCTTGCTCCGTGATTGCCGGCTCCGCACAAAAGTTTCTTTTTCTTTCCTTTTCTAAATTCTACCCACCTTCCTCCCCCTCTCCTGTCCCCTCTCCCATTCTTTTGTCTCCTCTCCTTCCCGTCGGCAAGATTCGGCCGGCTGAGGGGGTCGCTCTAGCTTGAGCAGGAGAGCCATCTCTATGCTCCTGGGTCACGTGTGGTCGTGCGTGTGGGTCACGTGTGGTCACGTGGGTGCATGGGTGTGGGTCACGTGTGGTTACGGTGCGTGCGTGTGGGTCGTGTGGTCACATGTGGGTCTCGGTGTGCATGTGGGTCACGTGTGGGTCGCGTGGGTATGTGCGTGTGGTCACGTGGTCACGGTGCATGGAGTCGCGGCATTAGGATGGTTGAGAACCGCTGGTCTAAATATTTGAAGTGAATACAGTATGATACAAGATGTATAGATTTGAAAACTAATAAGCAGGTAGTCTTCCACTTACAACCACAATTGGGTCCAAAATCATGGTTGTTGAGCAAGCACTTGTTAAGTGAGATGCCACATGACAGTTTTGTTCAACAACCACAATCCCAGCTCTCAGATGTGGTCCTTAAGCCAAATGCTACTACACCCAGATACTCAACCCCCCTCCCCACCCTCTGGTGGAAAGTCCCTCAGCACACTAAAGAACGGACCGCAAATCTGGTAAAAATGCTAGCAAACACCATTCTGGAAGACTCAGAATGTTGGTGTTTGCTAAGTGTTTTTCCCTTTAGAGAAGTGGAGATGGTATTTGCTTAAATACCAGTGATAAATGTTGACATTCATTTTGAAAGGTTCGGAATGCTGGTGTTTGCTAGCATTTTTGCCAAATTTGAGGCCTGTTCCTTGAGCCTGTGAAATTTCCTCCTCTTGCATGGGGGGGGGGGAGAGGGAAAATCTCTCAGCATGCTGGGAGAACTGACCTCAAATCCAACTTCCCTCCCTTTGTAATCTTCCCTGCTGGCTTTCCCATTGACTGGGAAAGCCAGGAGAGAAAATTAGAAATGGCAATCACATGATCACAGGGCGCTTGGCAACAGGTCATAAATGTGAACAGGTTGCTAAGTGACCAAAATGCAGTCATATGACTTGGGAAAATCAGCACAACATTTTATGACAGCCAGAAGTGCTTTATAGGCCATAAAGCATCAGTTCCAAGGCTGTCATTTATTTATTTATTTATTTATTTATAATTTAATTTATACCCCGCCCTTCTCCTCATGGGACTCAGGGCGGCTAACAGCCTCATAAAACTACAATACAAATACAATAATTAAAAGCCGAATTAAAAAGAAATATTTAAATAGGCCGATCAATTAAAATTATCCTTAAAAATCCCCTGAAACTTTAAAATCATTAACA